ATATGCCTGATTTGCGGCTGACTATATTTTGTTTATACTACTGTCTTACTAATCTTAACAGTTTTGGTGGTTTGTTACGTCAGAAGTATATTCGATTCTACAGAAAATTGGTTGGAAGGGATATGAAAATAAAATTGTTCGGAAAATTACTAAGAATGAAGATTTTTTCACACCTGCTTTGGGGCTGACTATCTGTTTTCGTACTGCTATCAAAAGTAACGGGGGATTTATAGCCAGATATGGTCAGTTATGACAATAAACTGCGAGTTTAATGAGCAAAGCATAAATTGCAAACAACTGTTGATCTGATAACTATTTTTTCATCTGTAAAACCTTATAACAACGCTTTTTTTGAGAGCTTTATTGTAGGTGTATTATATTTCTGGCCAGCTTCTGTTGAAAAAGGTATATTACAATATATGCATTCATCAGAATCAAAAAAGTTTGTTTTTACGATCGTAAAACAAAAAGTGCGTAAAATCAACATTTTATTTGCTCATGTACGTTTGTGTGTACCCGTTATCACTCTTTGCACTTTTTTCTACATTATATTTTATTTGTATACATGATAACATGATATAATGGTAGTCTGATAAAAAAAAGCTCTCTAATTTTTAATTTTTCCTAATGTGTTTAAAAAGCTCGCTTAAATCTATTAACGAATATCAAATTCGTATTGGTATCTGCACGAGTAATTTCGAAAGAGCAAAACGGTTTAAAATGTGTGATAAATATATCATATTTTTGCAATACATTTCGATTGAGGATCAAACTTTATGTTGTCTTTTTCTCTGACATACACACAATGCATGTACATTAATATCTAAACGCGTATGTATACTTCTTTCTATGTCTCTCTAGACTGTGTACACTCTCTGCTTATACCTCCATTTTTTTCCGTCTGTATATGTATGTATGTATACGCGGGCACTGGCCATTTTTCTTTGCCTCGTCTCAGGGGACAATTTTCGTGTTCTCGTTCAACTTTTGCAGTGAAAAGACTTTGGCCGACGCAGTAAGTGTACTTAGTTTTTGCCTTATATTTCCCCGTGCATTTTTCATTCCCATTGTCCGGGACTAATACTCATATATACACACACACACTGCTGTACCTACTTAGAAGCATCGTTGCCGTTTTTGTTATTCTCTTACCCTTTGTAAATAACATATACACCCTCTTATCTCGAGCTAGCACGTAACTAATTTAACAAAAAGTTTCAACAGTCATAACATTAAAAAAATCTTTATACTAAAAAGTACTGTGTGTACAAACATTTCTTCGATAATATTTAAAAAATTAAAATTCAGAAAAACTATGTTTTGAGTATTAAAAGTAAGAAATTCATGACATGCAGGGTACGCGTGCACGTATCACATATTGACGGTCGATAGCTTTTAAGGACGAATAATAGGGAAAAGGAGGAGGAGGGAAAAGAACAAGGGCGAGCTTACGGGCTATCTCGAGGCACAGCCGAGCTGTACCTATACGTGTATACTTAGGAAAGAGAAAAGTAGTCTCGATGACTAAGTATCATGATAATACGCTTACAGTCCACAGCCAATATAAGAGTCAGGTCGGTCGGCGACTTGATGACAACGCGATGGAGTAGAATTTTAGGGGCTTAGCATAAATATTTGTCCATGTGTATATGTATGATGTATGTACATTATATCAGATCTGCGAGGCGACTCGGTAAACACACGCGCGTTGCTTCATGGGTTATGTTTGCACTTTGAGATAATGTCCTGCTAGCAGTTGTAGGAGCTAAGAAGAAAATAGGGACTTTTATACAAGTGCTCGCTCGCTCGCGCGTTCGTGTATGTTTAAGCGTAACCTATTTCTTCCGAGTAACTGTTTGCTCGTCCCGTTCTTCAAGAAAGCTGCTGTCGCTGCTTCTTATTCTTTTTTTATCATTACGTCACCAAATGGAGATAATGCGAAATTTTTCTATTTTGTAAATGATGCCTCGTCTCTTGAACGGAGAAATCAATAATAAAAAAAATACGTTTCGAGCGATTATTTCGTTTCTCCTTTATTGTTCGAACAACCGAACGTGAATAGAAAATCAATTTCGTTTCGGAATAAACGATGTTATTCGTGTGCTTTTGATATGCATTTGTATTTTCGGTAAGTACTGCGAAAAGTCGTTCTTTTTCTAGTTGGAGGCATTTCGATATGCAAATTGATTCTCGAATTTGTTAACTTGAACAAACGCGGAAAATACGCCCGGAGAGAATAGTGGATTTTTTTTTTACTTCCAAAAACGATAACGGGTACAAAACCTAACAGGTATAGAACGCTCGTTTCACCGAGCATTCAACGCACATGGAATCACGAACTCAATTAGAAGTAGCAGCATGAGCGCCAATTGAAAAAGAAAAAAAAAATGAGACTCTACTCGCGTTCAATGAAAAAGATGGAGAAAAAAGTTAATACAAAACTAATTTGCAAAGAGATGTAACGTGGCCGAATTATACATGCCTCGTCGGAGCTTTGCAAGCAGATCACGTACTCGTGCGCGTACGCATGTACATTTAAGCCTTTTCGCTCGAGGGCCCACCTAGCCCAACGCACTCACTATCTTCCTCCAGATATATATCTCTTAATTTCTTGGATTTGGTTTAGCCCCGTATTTGCAATTTCACGCAGGGTACCGCACCGGAATTATTCATGCGATCCGACCAGGACACGGGCATGCGCAATTTTCGAGCGTTCTCGAAAGCTTTTGAAGAAATATCAGCGCGCGATAAGGCAATTTTTCAGGTTTTGAAAAAAAAAAAAAAAACCATAAAGTTTGTTACCAATATGTATAGGTACGTGTACGTTAATGCGTGTGGGTATATCACGCAGGTGGAAGATCCTCGATACATCGGTAGCGTGAAACGAGATTTGACGTTCAGAGAGAGATACAGAGAGAGCAATATTTACTTGGATGCGCGCAGCCATGATACATTTTGCCGAAGGGAAGGATGCGCGCTCTTTTTTTTTTTTTTGCTCCAAGGGCCGCGTAATAAAGTTGCCAACTTCCGTGCCGTGGCTTCTTTTTCTTCTGCTCTTTGCCTTTGCCCTGGGAGCTTTACGCGAGCTTTTCACGCGAATGGCTCGGGACTCTTGGAACTTTACGATAGTTGTGTATTCGCGGGCAGTAACGTCGACTGTAATTCTTGCCTTCGAGTTTTTCCGGGCTGATGAAAATTACGAAAATTTAATGGCGCACGTTATTTAATCAAAACTAGAGCGCATCTTTCATCCATTCAATTTATCATCATCATAGTGTGAGTTAATTTGTTGTAAACCTCATTGCGCTCTTGTACCAATACTTAACGGGTTTCTCAATCATTACAGAATTTAACTGAGAAAACTATAATTTCAAAATTCATGCAAATTGCATTCCAAAACTAAACTGCATGGTAAATTGCGGTGATTGAACACAATACGACTGACTCCATAAACTATTGATGCAATGAAATTTCCAATAATTTGTACGCAAATTTTGTTTCTGGTACCAAGACCGCATGTAGACCAATCATCGCACGAGAACGTAGCGTTAACAGTTGGAGTGTATTCCTTCGTAATTAAATTTTTGTGACGACAACAATTGAGTGAACTAAAGTCAATGTATAGGTATATGTAAACTAATAAACATGGGTATAAAATAGTAGCAATAAATATATTATGAGTGGCAATTGAATTTCAAATCACGAGCGTGCATATCGTATAATCAATGTCCGCGCCACACATTGTATTACCCATAAAATCTGTACAACGTTACTTCAGTTAGAGTCGTTCACGAAATCTATCGCGAGATTCAAACGAAAAGGAAAAAATCAAATAAACTGGTAAGAAAAACAAGGAGCCCTGGTGGGATATTCACGTGCTCCACGTCGTTTTCCCGCTGACGACGACGACAACGATGAGGCACACGAACGAACGGGATCAGGCTCTGGAGGCAGGCAGGCAGACAGGCAGGTATATAGACTCTTGAATCCTCTGGAAATTGCGCTCATTACGGTCTGAAGGATTGAGGAACGCCGACGACGACTAGAGAGAGAGTGTGCAAGCGAAGAAGAAAGAGGAGTGGTACCGTACCCCAGATGCAAGAGGCATTCTTGCGCATTCGGGGATTGTGCGCCGGAAGATGAAATGCCGGAGGAACCTTCCCTCTATACCACCGAGGTTTGGCCTCGTTGCAAGTGCGTGTATATACTCGGAAACAAATAAGTGTGTGGCCGCTTGTTGGTGATGGTACGCTAGAAAATTTTCTATTTCTCCAAAGTACCGAGCTAACTTGATCATCATTTCATGCACATTATAGAATAGTACTTGTTACTAGCAAAATTTAATTCATAAGTATAAAATATTTTGCACTCGTTAGCTTTTTGTGACAATAATTGTTCGATTTGGTAGACCTATAATATTGAAGTAGTTGGTTACTTATCGATTTTTCCGTGTACATTTTTACACTTATGAACTCTGTTCCAAAGCATTTTACACAAAATAGCAAGTACATACTCGATTCCAACTTCAATGCTTTAAACGTGTACCAAATTCACTGGCTATTGTGGTATTATTACCACGACTTTCTTAAAAGGTTATTTTATATAAATGATCGTATGAATGAATGAGACAGAGTTGTTTTGTATTCAAGAATAAATTTATCTACGGTTGACACTTTCATCATCGGTGGGAGGGCGTATTTGTGCTCATTTTTTCTAATACTCGATAGTGTCTTTCGTGAGCGGTAAATATTTCAGAATACGTGGTTCACGTACGCCAGCCAACAGAACTCGTATTTTCTGTCTTTGCTCCCTAATGTCGCTCTCGTGGCTTTTCACATACATATCTACTCGTATATATGCGAGTGCAATACTCTTTTCTTCGTTCTTTTGCAAAGAATAGATGGAACGAGGATATAATATACGTTCAGCGGAGCTCTGGGATTGTGAGATATTGAAAAACACGCTGGAGATTTTTGATATATGCGAGCACGAGTACTTACCCTGCGACTGTTGCCATCCTTGGGATTTAGGTCCGAGGCCACAGTACCGAAGATCGTCGGCTGCAACAGAATAGTAAAGTTATATAAGATGAAAAAATTTTGTTTTCTTTTTTTTTTAATTTTATCTATTTTTTTTACTTTAACACCACGTTTTCTTTTTAATTATAACTGTTTTTTTTATATATATTGTCATACGTATATGTTATAGTCTAGGAATTTTTATAATTATAATTAATAATGACCTATTACTTAAAATTGCTTAAAATTGTATTTCGTAGCATTTGTACGATGCCATTTAAAAACCTTTAGGAGTGAAACTATCTGCATTTGCGAACATCGTCCGGTATGGTCTAGTGGCTAGGATACCTGGCTCTCACCCAGGAGGCTCGGGTTCGATTCCCGGTACCGGAATTTTTATTTTTCTTTTAATTTTTAATAAATTAAAATTTTTAAATACTATGGTATTAATGTTGAAGTATAAATGAATATTACGCAATAGTCAAAGAGAAGATGACTGTGAGCTATGAATATTCACAGCTATACCAAGATTTTGGGATATTTCTTACAACTTATGTACGATCATGTCTCTTAAATGCATGTTTCATAAATGGACATTTGTAAAACTGGTAGAGAGATTGTGTCAAACAATTTTTACAGACCAATAAAAGAGGTTGATTATTTTTTTTTTAATAAAGGGGTTTTTAGCTAATGCAATGTAATATATAGAAAGTTACTTATAGTTCTGTGCATGACTAAAGAAATTACCGATATAATTTACAATTTTCAGCATTTTTAGTGAATTTAAATGTCAAAGAAAACTTTTTTAATAAACAAATCATAAAAAAAATTACAAGAGACTTTTTTTCAAAGCTAACTTTGTTTTTAAGAAAAAAAAAAAACTTGTTTCGATTGTAAGTTTATAGTTTTTGCAATTTACTTAAATAATTGATTGTAATAACAAAAGTTATGATAATTATTACATTAACCTTGGACAATTTTTTTCGGAAATTTTTTTTTTTTTTTTTCAACAGTATGAACGTTCTAGCCACATCGAATGTTAAAAATCGTATATATACTTAGCAATTATTACTTTACAGTTCAAAATACTTTAAATAATGGAGAGTTTATATACATTAATGAACTACTCAAAAACATATGTACGATCAATACAAGCTACAGCTCAGTTCAGTATTGCAAAGAAGAAATTTCAAGTGGGATGATGTTTCCTTATCAAATGTATAGCTCAATGCATCAATTCAATGCATTAGTTTCATGAAACTAAGAAAATGTAAGTAAAATTTCTATTTTGTTGAACAAAGTACTTCCAGTATCACGGCGTCTGAAAAACCATTACGCAAGAGCTGCGTAATCTCTATATACTATCACGAAAAAAGCTAAGCACACCGAGAGACGTGTATTTATACACGCCCGTAACAAGTGTTTTTTCTCCTCTCGGGCTCTCTCCTCCTACTTGTTCGCTTCTTCCCCTTCATCTTTTTTTGGACTCTGCCTGTCCATTTACAAAGACTGCCAGCCAGACCGTTGTCGGACAATACCTCGACGGATTAGCTCCGGCTCAAGTTCGGTAGCGAGCACAGTTTCTCTTTTTTTTCTTCCTTTTCTCGCAAAATATTTTTCCAGATCCCCCTCTGTTTCAACGTCCCCCATCTTCTTCTCTACCGTGCTATTTTCCGTACTCTTTTCACTCGCTATACCTTTCTCTCTTTCAACAATTACATACATCCTCTACCCGCAAGCACTGACAGCATGTACACGCTTTGAGAACAAAAATAAAATTCTTTAGACCAATCAAAAGTTTTTCCCACTGAAATTCAAACACTGCTCGTATTTACGTATCAATTCATCTCTCTGAGCACATCTCTCATCACCGTGGACTATATAGAAGTTCAGGTCGAATGTATACTCGAGGGGGGGGGGAAGGGTGCAGAAGAGAATAACATTTACCGAACGCGCATCAATTTGGTCGTGTTTGTTCAGCCCCGGGGAAACACGTGCTGCATCGACATCGCCGACCAGCAGATCTCGTCCACTGTGCATATGATGCACACGATACCTATAGAGCAGCGTTGCTCCGAGCATGTGCACTCATGGCGCACGTACAATTTACTTTTCACCCGAGTTTTCGCGTTTTCCGACACGTATGACCTCTCATTCTCTTCAAAACTCTAGACTGCATTGCCAACCTTGGAGAGCAGGTGTGGGGCGAGAGAAATGACGGCGGGGAGACATTTGTAGGGGTTAATCGAGTCGCACATACGTATACTTTGGGCACACAAGCATACAATGGATAGAGAGAGAATGAGGGGAAGCTGGGTAATTGATCGTCACCGGAGCACTTCATCGAACCACTTGGCGCTGTTGTGTCTCGCCAGCGAGGCATTGCACTTTTTTCTCCGGAAGCACTGCTTGCGTCAACTTTTCGATCAATCCTTCTTGTCTTGTTGCGCGTCAAGACTTCTTGTAAGTGAAATTTTTTTTTTTTTTTTTTTCGTCGTGCTTGAAACACACAAAAAATCATTACCACCCCCTCATTTAATTAACGTGTCAATGGATGATATAGGGAATTTTCGGACGTACTTTCCAACGACGAAACGTTGAGCCAGCGAGAGGAGCGTTGACCCCGGGAGACGCGTTTATTTGCAGAGTCTAAAAAAGGAGAGGAAACGGAGCTCTGCTAGGCGATACAGCACCATAACGCTGTGTGTAAGTGCAGTTCGGACACTTTTGCCGGACTGTATCTCTCCTAAAAGCCTTCGATTTTCCGAAACTGTCTCTCGGCGGAAAGGAGAAAAAGGGGCGGGAGAGTAAATCACAGAGTGAGAAATAAAAGGAACTTTTGGGAGTGACGGCACCGAGTCGAAAGGTCTCTTCGTATCTTTGAAAAAGTTTAATCATCGCGAATCTTAGTACGCGAACAATGGATGCTTCGACGCTGTTTGAGGGTTACTCGAAGCAAGTTTGCGTAAATTATTGGTACAAGCTTGCCTATGGGGATTCCGTCCTAATCTCGGTTACATGTAATGAGATTAGATCCAAGGAGTTTGTGGGTACGGAGGAGAAACTGCAGGGATTACACGTAAGTACTCCATCGGCATCGTCACCCCCGGTCGCTTGAGATCCCGTGAGTATTCCTCGCGGTAACAACCCAATTTGGCGCTCAATCCTTTATCGATTCGCGCACGAGGAACGTCATCTGAAGTTGCCTGTAAAAATATTTCTGGATTTTAATTTAAAGAGTAGCCGTCCACACTGGCTCACGACCGCGTCTCTTCCCAGCTGAGAAACTTCAATTTTCCAAAGTTGATTGCATCCGGGCTCCTTCGGTTTCAATCTTTCCTCGTCGACCAAACTCAAAGGGAAAAAATGTAAAAGGATCGAATAATACAATTTAGATATCGAAGGAGCCTTTCATACCTCAAACTGCGGCACGAAACTTCTCGAGGATTAACGACCCCCCTCGGTTCGTCGAAGTACGATTCTGGAAACTTAACGAACATCCTATTCGTAACTGCTTTCAGGTATATGAGAAAATCCACAAAAGATGTCCCGTTTTTGTCACCCACATCAACAAAAACAAATTGTTTTTGAGAGACACACCCTTGAAACCGAGCTTATTTTACTCGTAATGTCATTTGCGGGTGTCACCCGCACTGAAACCCGAAAGAAGATATTGTTTGTGAATTTCCTCATATCTGCAGCATACGAAGGAAATGTCACTTTTGTGCGCCAGTTCATCCGTACCCTAATTTACCAGCGATTTTTCAACGATATGATTGGGGTACTTATTGACCGGCTTGCCATATAAAAACGCGTCACGGGTCACCACGTCCATGTACGGAATAAATCATTAGACCCCGACGAACCGCACCGAGTGAAAAATGGTCGATCCAACGGTGCTCGTAGTAACGCACTTTTGCATTTTTCATCGCGCCCATGTGTATAATCAGCGCGGATTGCTCTCGCGATACTCCCTGTTTTATTTACCTCGTTTAGCTCCCGATATTTTGCACCCCCCTGGCGTTCATTACACCCTCGCAATCGAGAAAAGCTGGGAGAAAAATCCCTTCGTGAGCTCGTGTGTTTTCATCGCTGGAAAGAACGTCATTAAAAGCTAATGCATCAGGTGTAAGTATGTATATGCATTAGCACGATGTAGCAGATACCTGTCGTAAATATTGGAGGGTAGGATCCATCGCGTGGATGACGATCAGTGGATGAAGGACGGATAGAGGAGTAAGACAAGAACAACAGCAGCAGCAGCAGCAGCAGGTAAGCAATACAAGTAAGTTTTAAGAAAGGGAGGGAGCATCCATTACGTGTAGAGAGGCTTGCGGTCGGAACGCGAACGCGATACGTTATTCCGACGAAGGGGATGCGAAGCGCACGCGTGGGATAGCTATCGGCTTACCGAGCCGGTCTCTAATTTAATCGGGCGCTAATTGCGCGCGTTGCATACACTCCGGGTGGCTGCTCTACCGTGCGCGTAAATCCCGCATAATGCGCGAAACAGGGCCGTTCGGCGCGACTTAATGACCTTTCTCTGCACTCTCTTGGATGCCGGTGACTGTGAGTTTCTCTGTATATGTGCGCACGTCAAGGTTGAATGTATCATTGCATACAAGTATCAACTGGACTGATAAGTATCGTTCTTATATAGTCTGCGTTTGTCACGCGATTCTATACCTGTAACAATGGTAATCCATATAATAATAACAACCATCACGATGATCAGTACTCTTGTCTTTGGAAAGTACAAGTGCGACAGAGCCAGTCTCTCCTCCTCTGTCTCCTCGTAATTGCAACCCCCACCGAGCGAGAGAACTCGATCGATTTCATCTCCCGCGAGGAGTAGTTGAGTTTCAAGGTACTTTCAACGCAGGTGTGTATGTATACATATCTATACCCACGTAATGCTGCCAATACCCGTCATTGTGCCGTTATGGGCGGAATCGCTGATTCGTCGGGAAGTAAGATTGCTGGTTTTATTCAAGACTCCATAGATATACATACGCATAAATGTGTATGTACGCGTAGAGATG